CTGCTAGGTGGCATAGAAAAAAAACTGTATAAAAAGAAAAATCATAAACACACTTTCTTTGTCATTCTTTTTCGCCCTCAACCATAGTATGCGGTAGGTAAGGGGTGTTATCTAGTGTCCTCCCCTGGGGGTGGGGGATGATAGTAGCCGGGAATACCGACTTCTTAATTTCTAACCAACAACGTGCGCTCTCTTTCTCTCGCTCTCTCTCTCTCTTTCTCTCCCTCTCTCTCTCTCTCTCTGTCACATACACACTCACAGCTAATCATATAAATGTTTTAAATTCCTTTTTAGCTATATATTTTTATATATAACACATGAATACAATTTCTCTTTTTTCTCTTGCCAGCTATATGTTATATATATATATATATATATATATATATATATATATGTGTTGAATTCCAATATTGCGAATGTTTCAACTGTAGCCATTACCATTCGTAATCTGCTGTGCATAACAAGTGGCAAATGCTCCGTCCAACTACTTCTCATTTATATCTTGACATTTTTATTTATTTTTTTTTTTTGATTAGATGGTGATGTTACAATTTTCTTTCTAATTCTTTCAGAGGACTCACAGTTAATCTAATCGGACCTTCATTAACGCTGAGTTCTTTACAGATGTGAGTAAGCGTTTTTATAGCATTGGTCTGTTGCGCATTTAACAGAATGCCAGACTTGCACTTCGAAGATAACTAGCTTAATACATACTCCAGTAGATTTGATGGATTACAACTGATTTCAGAAGAAAATCAAAAGTAAATCGACCATATAAGCCAGGAAAATATTAGCAGTTTTAATTTTAAGATGAATTGTTCAGTGTGAATAAAGAAATACGACGGAGAGACTGTAAGGGAATTTGAAAGCGAAATACAGAATATTAATCAAAACGCGTTTCATAATATTCAAAATGGGCAAAATTCTCAGACTTACACTTCGAAGATAACTAGCCTGATATATACCCCAATAATCTTTCATCTTTTTCAAAGTTCAATAAATCCTCAATGATAGTGTTGGATATTTTGTTTATGAAAAAAATATTTAAAAATAAAATTGAGTTAATCTTGCAGAGGATTACAACAAGCAAACATGGTGTACGTTATATTCTATAATGGCATCCCAAATTTCCAGGAACCGGTTCTATAAAGGTAGGATAATCCGTAGGAATCTATTCAGCTTATTTTTCTATCCAACTAAGAATGGAAACAAATCACTTTATAGTATCAAAAAGAATTAAATCATTTTGATAATTTAATGGAAAACCTTTATTTATTAAGCTATTTCCAGATTGAAATTTTGTTCTCGTCATATTTCTGTTCAGAAGTCTGATGCTTTTTGATTCTAGTGTCATCAGATGTATTATGGTTTCTTAGCCACATTTGAACTTAATCGCTGCAGTCTCAAAGATCCAATGGAAGACTTATCAACTTTATGTCTAGAAGATTTGCTATATATTTAACTTCAAGACGATTTCTTCTGCCAAAATAAATTATGTTCGTCACAGAAAACCCTCTTTCAGAACTTACAGCATTGGTATTAATTATATTTGTAGTTATATTTTAGCTTATATTTTTAAATCGGCTATTAATATATAAGATTAATTTCGGATAATCCAACAACCAGTTCGCTAAGCTTTTATAATTTTAAGAATCTGTTTACGCGAACCGGCGTGGACCGGTAGGATGCCACCACTGTTTAGTTTATATTTATTGTTTTTTTTTCATTAATCATGTTCATAAAGTATCTAGAGTTTTTCTTCAATACAAATCTACTCGCTATTAATCTTAACACTTCTATTTGTCGCGATAAAGAGATGATAATATCGGCGAAATGAATAAATAGATAATATCGTATATGTTTACTTTTATCCTCGCTGACTCTGGCAGGAATTCGACTGATAATGTAAACCTCGCTTTTTAAGATGGCGAAAAATACACAAATATGGCAATAACAAGGGGGATTGGGTAAAAACTCAAACGAAAAAGGTGGAAAAGGCAATTAAACACTTACAATTATTTAAATATTCATTATTTTATTTAAAAGAAATAATTCAATATAGATACACTTATCAAGATGAACTCGACATTTAATTGCGATGATTAAAAAACTTACATACACACTCACGAAGGAAATTCAAAAATTTTAAATCGCTTTGACTCACTTTCAACAAAAAAACTTCCGTTTATATGAAACTTGTGTTACATTTTTAAACTAAATTTCACGCATTACAATATATAAAAGACTCTCAAGGCGGAGGGTTACTGTTGACATGGTAATTAGGAATTAATTGTGAGCTATGAGTGTAATAGAAGGTGGTAAGAAGTGATTATGAAGATAAAAAGGACAGGTAGTGATTGGCCTTATTGACTTAAAGGGGTCAAGATTAAAGCATTCAAGTAATCACCCACGCGGGTGGTTTGTTCCACAAAGTAGCAATCACTGTGAAAGATAGATCTGAATGAAATGTCCTTCTTACTTTTCAAACATGGAGGAAATAAAGGTGATTTGACTCCGTGGAAGAAGCATGGCGTGTCCTAACAGTAAAAATCTGAACTAGTGCAACTAAAGAATGGAGCTAATCTGAATACTTACGATGGCATTTTTTAAGCAAGGCGATAATGCCACTAAGACGCAGAGTGTTACTGTGAGCGAAAGAAAATAAGAAAACGCAAGTGTTGAGAAAGGAGAATAAAAGACCAGGTTAAAAAAAAAACATAAGATTGGCGATCGACGTTGCATTTAATTTTTTGAAGATCATAGGTGGCAAGGAAGCAAGAAACTGGAATAGAATTTTTCAGACGAGAAGTACAACAGAATAAACTGTTAGAATCGAACTTACGGTTACATATAGCTATTTCAACAGTAAAACGGTGAGACCTAGTTGCCAATCGAGTAGCACGCTTAAATTCATGCGACCGATGTGCCAGGAATGAAAATTCATTAGAACAATTCCTAGGAAAATATTTATAGAAAAGACACATAGCAATGGCAAAGTCACTGAAATCGAGATGCCAGGTCAAGAGAGATAATATTATAGACCCTTCTTTAGATTTTGTCGAGGACCTTGAGATATATAGCAGGAGCATCAGAAAAAAAATTGGTAGCAATATTCAATGAACGGAGGAATGATAGATTTATAAACTTGCAAGATGGATTCTGGCGAGGAAAAATGTCTGGCACGACACAGTGAACCAACATTCCTAGCATCAGACGCAGTAATTGATTCAATATAATCATTCTATTTCATGTCAGTAGAAAACGTGAGACGAAGAGGACGCAAAGAGTTGCTTTCTTGGAGATTAGAATAACGATAGATGGCAGACAGGTTTGCAACGTGGCGTTTGGGAGAAAGAGTTGAGAAATCTCCCCAAAATTCTTTTCATCGGTACCAATCAGTAAAGCACTAACGAGGTTGTAAAATATACCAGATATAGTATATGTTTGCTCCACATCGCGCGCACACATATACACACTCATAGTGCAAAATAAGATCTATGTTTGGTTATTTAATGTAGGATTAACCTGTATTTTCACATGACACAATAAAAGCAAATAGTCAGCTAGTAGTCATTATTCCTCTAAAGAAGTATTTTCCAACCTTTTTTCAATCAGCGCCTTGCTTTGGGCACAAACTCAACGCCGTCTGTCAAATTAAATTTCAAATATTATACTGAATTCATCTTTCATAGGAAGATAACATTTACGTATTAGTGCAAAAATAAATTTAATATTGTTTTCATTTCTATTATAAATGCCAATGATTAAAATGTTAAAAAAAAACAACTTTTATGTGATAGCTTATGTTTTCAACGAGATGGTTGACTGGTAAATGCTCTTACTCTAGGTTCCATTCTGCTTTGAAGTAATCGTAGATCTCCTCATTTTGTAATCTGCTGACGATTTCTTTGTTTAGTAAGAAGCTGTCTAATTGCGTTGAAGCCACATTAAGTCCTATAGGAAGTTAAAAAAGTTATGAAGAAAGATTTGATAGATTCCCACAGCTATAGATACCTTCCAGAAATTTCCTTTTGTAGGCAATATTGAATAATTTTTGAAAAATTGAAAAAAAAAATGGATGGCTAAACAGAAGTATGTTCACCGCCCTCCAAATGAAATAAAAACTCCCAGTTTCCCCTTCCAACATCAAAGAAGCCACAGGGGGCGCTGGTGCCCACGTTGGGAAAGGCTGCTCTAAAGTAATCGATGCTTACAAAATGTTATTAAATAAATATTTTGTTATTTTGGAAATGTAGAGACATCACGAGAACGTGAATATACGGCGTCTGAAGAATGCTCGAAGAACCTAGGCGAGGAAAGCATAAAGTCTGTGTATCTTTTTTTATGCTTTCTTCATAACATGTTTTTATAAAATTTAGAAACAGAAATGATTTGATTTAAAATAACTGTTATAGCGTCTCGGATTGAGGAATCGGAGTGCTGAGTTCGAATTCCAGTCGAATCCATTACATTCACTTACGTGCTAATACCCTTGGGAAAGGTATGAACCCTCTTCTCCCACAGCTATGGATAAATAGCAGGACAAACCGGGTTCTATAGCCTTAGATGGCCTCGTCAGTTATGTATCGAAAGGTACATGATCGCCTAAACGTGTATCACGCATGGCATATAACTGATCATCTGAGTGAACTACATAAGCATAAGCTACACCATTTATCGACAAAAAAAAAAAAAAGAAAAAAAAAAGAATGGAAAACTTCAATTTTTGTTTAGATTAACTTATTGTAACACAGGAGTTATCCACTCTTGCTGCAGCTTCTCTTGTAAGAATTCTCATATATGTAAATATAAAAGCAAACATAATATTCGAAATATTCAAGCATCCTTTAGAGGCGTTTATCAAAAATAGTTTTGTTTTACTAGCAGCTAAAATTATACCATTATTTTTAAGACTAAAACAGTTTTCAGTTTTTATCATCAGTTTAGGTTTTTGTATGACAAAAAGTTTTCATAGTTTAACACTCCTTAAATTTCAGGGCTTACGGCCATATCACATTGGAACATCGGTTCTCGTACGATCATCGAAGTTAAGCAACGTCGAGCCTGGTCAGTATCTAGAGACGTGACCTCTTTGGAATATCAGGTGCTGTAAGATTGAATATACAGGTAATGAAAATCAGGGGGCCGTAACTAGAAATCAAAGAGCAGATTTTAAATTCCAGTCGGCTACGCGCAAATGCCTCGGGGAAAAGTTATGAATCCACCTCTTCTCCCCCAAGCTATGGATTAATTAGTAGAACTTGTATGAGTAAATCATTATTATCTCCAAAATCTTTTATAATCTGAAAATATTTTCTGATTTTAAATAACCAGGAAAAGGTTGGTACGCCGTAAAAAAAAACAACAAATCTATAAACAATTATGCTTCAGGGCTTCTCCTTCTTTTGTGTGCCATTTTCTTTCATATCATGACTCTCTACGACCTCCTATCCCTTGTAGCCCTTAGTAACGTTTGATTCTTTGCCACCAACACCCCGACCTCGTTACCCTATCCATTCACACAAGCACGAGTGCTCTGTGGCTGGCTGCCTACTTTTATCCCTTTTGATCTCAATATGCCCTGTGGATCTCAAATTCTCAAAGCCTTCAGTATATATCCAAGAAATGTCAGTTATCTCTTTCTTATTCTCTCTATAGGTTTCCTTTTTGTTTCCATTTTTTTCGTTGCTTATATGCTCTGTCCGTTGTATTCTCAACATCCTTCTGTAGAACCACATTTTTGTTTCCAATTTTGTGTTCATCCAACATTCACTACCATATAACAGGATTTATATCACACAGTAATTCAGTCCTGTTTTCGTTGTTTCTAATGAAATTTTCTTATTCCTTGATACTTTGTTTAGGTTTTGGAAGGCGTCTTTTGCTAATCCAATGCGGGTTCGGAATGCGCTGTCGCATTTTCCATCCATCAATTATTGGGATTTTTGAAACCAAGTACCGTCTTTGATGCCTTTTGCTTTCTCACATGATCATAACGAAGGAGTCCATTATTTTTTTAGTTATTAGCAGAAGACGTTAAAGGCTTCTATCATTCTTTCTTTTCTTTCACTGAAGCCAAGTAGCGTTTCTAATATGTCTTGTCTTTCCACGCGACCAAAATGAAATAGTTCATTATTTATGAGGTACTGACAAAGCGTGAATGTCGTGCAAACTAACAAAAGGAGGTACAAGCGCAATTATATTATTATTAATATTATTATTATTATTATTATTAATAATAATAATTGTCAAAATACAAGGACCTTGAAATAGAAATCTCAAAAATGTGGCACATGGGAACACCAACAATCCCTGTTGTAGTTGGAGCCCTAGGAATTGTTGGAAAAGATTCCAGTAGACTAATCGAAGGGATTCCTGGAAGTCCATGCCTCAAAAAGATACAAAAAATGTTCTGAAACGTACAGCCCACACTTTACGAAGGGCTTTATCTACGTAATTTTTTTTTTTTTTTTTGTCAGTGGAAAGTGTCATGATGCCATCCCTAAACTTAGATCCTTGGGCGGGACCCGGAAAGAAATGTGTAAACACCAGAAATCAAAGGAAATAATAATAATAATAATAATAATAATAATAAAATTTATATTATGGAAAGGGTTTCAAGCTCTGGTATTTTTCTTTCAAACCAGAGATTAAATTAATTTTTTAAGATTATTAGATCCATTTCATCTAGATTTGTTACTCTTGCCACTTTTCGGAAATTGATGTTAATAAAATTTTCCTTTAATTGTCTCGTTTTTCTCCATTTCTTTTAGACTCTGGAATCACACGAGTTCCTCACGCGCGTCTCTTCATATCAAAAGTAAGACAAAAAAAAGAATAAACTCAATCCTGAAAAAAAACGTAGAACTACAAAAAAAAAAAAAAAAATGACAACAAGCACGACAACGCCATTTTCATCTTTTTCTTGGCATTTACTCTGAAATCGTTCTACAATCAAATGATTATAACAAAAGAAGTAAAGTTCAAGTAGCGACTTACATTTTTTTTAACATCTAAAATACTGCACGAAAGAGAATGAAAAAATAGATAAAATCGAAAGTGAGAGAGAGAGAGAGAGAGAGAGAGAGAGAAGATATGTCAACATCAAAGAAACCGGTAACTGTTTCACGACCTGTTGTCATTTCGTTTTCCTTTCGAGGAAGTTGTAGAGAGGCGTCCAGAACGATGTGCACAAGATGATGGATAGAAATTAAGAATAAAACACCTTGAACTATAAGTGTTATTTAGTTTCGAAGAAAAAGTAAAAAGAAAATATATATTGACTATATTGGTCGGATTTATCTTTCCTTCTTTTGTAACTTGTTTTCATTTATTTCAAAATTCACTTTCATCATTCGCCTTTCCTTTCTCTTTTTTCCCACAATTCTTCTTGTTATTCATTGGTTTTCATCTCATTGACGAACTCTTTTTTTTTGTTCCTTCTCAATGACTTGAACCTCCCCCTAGGTCGTTTCCTTTTATCTACTCGACTTGATCTCTTTTTTTAACGTTTACAGTTGGTCTCTTTATTCTGTTTTCAAGCCTTGTTGGCATTAATTCCTTATGAATCTACTTCCCACATACTATCCACGCATTTCTCAGCTAAAAATATAATACATTATCCACTTTTCTATCATTATTTCAATATTCTTTCTTCTTTTCTTTTCCAACTATTCTTCTTGTTTTTTTATTGTTTTTTTTTTTGGTGGGGGGAGTTGCATTTCCTTCGTAACACTTACATAATATTTTCTGCATTATCTCTTTCTTCCATGTCCATCTTCTCTCTCGTAAACTCAGAAAATTTAAATACATTTTGACTATCGTAGCTAGAGGAGTTGAGAAGGCGACCCAAACCAGGCGACATATTTATGGGAGTGGTACTTTTCGGTCTGCTGTATAAGCCTGTATAGGCTGTATTGAAATAAAAGCAGTTTTGATGTCGGGACACTACTCACAATTGAAGGACCGTCTTGATTTTGAGTAACTTAAACTATGGCATATATATTTAAGCGATTGTTATCTTGGCCAAACAATAAACATTATCCAATGATGTACTCAGGGATGTTTTATCATAGTTAACAATGTGAAACCTGTGAACAGATCCAGGAAGCGTTCTTTTAACGTCGCTGCATCGCTATGTGGGTGACACATCTTGGTTGTTATCACATAAATTTCTGTTATTTTCCTTGACAGATGTTCGTTTGAGGGTATGTGTTGCTCTATTTTTCGTCTTTTGGACTTGTTAATAGTTATATATATATATATATATATATATATATATATATATATGTGTGTGTGTGTGTGTGTGTGTGTGTGTGTGTGTGTGAAGAAATATAATTTTAAGGTGCGCTATATTTATGGAATAAAGTGCTCAATATCAGGGATAGAGCGTATGTGAATATAAAAGTGAACATTAAATTCAACATTCAGGGGCGACAGACTGTTTCATGCTAGACGCGACCATCAGGCCACATGATTGGCCTGATGATGTGGCCTGAGTGTTGACTTCAATGTTCACACACACACACGCACACACACATCTCTCTCTCTCTCTCTCTCTATATATATATATATATATATATATATATATAAAAGGGGTGGCATATTCAAGGGCTACTTCAGGCGGAACACTCTTTGCTTCGTGCTGCACACACTCTAGCTACGCCACTGGCTAGTGTTGACTTTTCGAAGCTTAAAACTAATTCACTGATTCCGATATCATGTCACTTTAGCTAATGATACTACTTGACTGCTTAGCTGGCGTGTTTTCATATTAATGATTATTTTACTGCATCTATTTGTAACCTCGACTTTGGAGACAATTAGATTTAAAATCTACACATGAAATATGTCAGACAACAATTGTTCGTGACGATCGAATATGAGCAGCTGTTTCAAGATTTAATTACTTTAGAAAAAGAATTCCCGAAGACTGCAGTCTGTGGCTTCCAGGTTTTAATGGCAATATCCGACGAAAACGATTTTTGAAAACGAAGTTTTAGAAGTGAAAGTTCACTCTAAAGGAAAACAAATTGTAAAGAAAATTGCTCAGAGGTTTTCAAATATTCATAGCACATAAATTAGGTGCAGTATTATTTGTTTATTCGAAATCATTTGGCTTTTTTTAAGTTAGTACTTTTTAACTTTGTAAGGCTTTCTTGTGTGATATTATTGCTAAGCTTGTTATTATTATTGTGTCGTACTTCAAAAATCTTTTAATTCAGAATAATAATAAACGAAAGTAAGTGAATTAAAATGAATTAGATATCTAAAGATGCGTAAGAAGAGACAGTTTTCAGAGAAAGAGAATTAACAGACAGACGATTTTTATAGTGGGTGATAGAAAAAGACACAGTATCATTACTACAAGAAGAAGTAATATCATGGTTTTCTAAGCATAGTCTAGATGTGGCACTCAGTGAGTATCGAACTCACTGTTCTGTTGTAATTGATCTAGCAAGACAAGCTTGTTAACCATTACACCACGCTGAATCTACATGGAGAAGTCACATGACTAAGATGTAGAAAACAAATTACAATACAACTAAGAGTTGTATTTCAGACACTGATCTATTCAGACAAGTGTCTTCATTTTGTTTGTTAGTTGCAACATTTTACCTGTTGTATTCTCCAACCATCTTTAGCTGTCTTTTATAGTTGGTAATCTTCTGGGAATTTTAAACCTTTTATTCAGTCAACCATTGTAGAGTGTTTGCATTATGTTGCCTATTCTGAAGTATACATCATATTAATTGATTCATCTTAGTCTTTAAGAAGTTTTTGCTTGTTCCACAGAACCAATCTATGTAGATTTCAGAATCTGATTAAGAGATTAAATTCTCATGACCTCCAGGTAACTAGATGCACTTAACCAAAGCTATTATCAAGTAGGCTCACAAGAGAATCAGGTGGCAGAATGTCAAAAGACTTAAATATAATATTCATTCTCCCCTAATCATAGGATCTCAATGTTATACTTTGCCTACTGAGTTGATTATGAGAACATAGGAAATGAATCAATTGTTTCACTCACTTTATATTTGAATGCTGCTTTCTCGGTCTAACTTCATTTTATATATGATAGTAACTCCCACCTTCTTTTGCACACACGAT